AAAATTAATTATCTTTCGCCCTGAAAAGCATAAAAACTTAAAAAAAAATCAGTTGGAGCCCGGCTGGGATTTGAACCCTGGTTACTATGGCATCTTCTGATTGTTTTTTGGGTGCTTTAGCATTTAAATCCATCTCCTTATCTTCCCAAGGTTGAAAAAAATGCAGTTGTATGCGATAGAAGAAAACCAGTTAAGGGAGCTGTATAGTCGGACGGGGCCGACCATACGATACTCTACACTACTACCACGGAACTCTAACTTTCTTCGGATTTTTATTCCGAGCCTGGGCAATATTTCGTGATTGTTGCACCCTCTTGCCCGATTAGAGGTCAACAGCACGTCTTCCTTACGCTGACATATTTTCCGAATATTCAGTACAGTTGTGATGTTCGGCTTATAATTGTGGCCTATAGATCGACTCGAAAAAAAAAAAAAAACAAAAAAACAAATTAACTTTTCGGTCCACTTCATCCTAAAATTTAAATTTACGTGTAACTCCTACATCCGAGTACATACGACAATTGGTATCAAAGAGTCAAATATAGACAAATTGACGAAATTGGCGAAATTTTGCACAATGTACTGAAGTTAAGATAGCCATGTTTTATTGAAATCGATTCAGATTTAGATATAGCTCCCATATATATTTTCGTCCGATTTTTAGCAAATGATGCACCAACGAGTCAAATTTAAGCCAAGTTAGTTGAAGTTAGTATAGCCTAACGTATGTCTAGTTTTATTGAAATCGGTTTAAATTTAGATATACCTCCCATTTTTTGTCCGATTTTATGTTAATGGTGCACCAAAACCTTCATGTTTTTTCGATTTCCACCAAATTTTGGACATCGTTCTAAAGTTAGTATAGCCTAACATGTGTTAAGGTCAGTGTTGCCAAAACTTTGTTGATAAAAAATGCTAGATTTTGTTTAAAAAAGTGCTAAAAAATTTTAAAAAGTGCCAAATAAAAGTGCTAAAAATTGTATAAGAGAAATTAGAGGAATTGACTTTAAGGGAACATCCGCACCCCCATTCCCGATTTTAAATTTTCAATTTAGACGCATTATCTGTGTTCTCGAAGGGTAGGATATATTTATGCGGGCAATTTTCTGCATAGGTCTATGTTTAGACATATACCCCGTTTGAAGATTCTATCCTATTTGTGTCCTTTAAGGATTTGAACCTTTTCCCGACGAAGTGTAGGCCCATCTTTTGACATAACACCATTATAAAGTGGGACCCGACCCATTTTCGGTACTCTGAAATGGCTACAATTTGGTATTCGGGATTTCCGATGAATAAAGAACTCATTTCTTCTTTCCGATTTAGGTCCAGGATTTTACTTCGCTCTTAATTTGGTTTTTCATTTTACCTAATAAACAACCTACTAGCAGGCGATGCTATAGTAAGCGTATGAAGTACCCGACCATTTTTTGAGAAAATTTTAATACACTGACCGTTCGAACTTTAATACATATTTACAAATGTACTGGCACTTTTTTTACATTGAACATTAAAATCATAGCGTGAAACATAGGGACATTTTAATGTGTCAATGTGAAATCGAATTAATACCCAAAATTGTAACTAATTCAAAAAAAAAAAAAAAAATAAATAAAATAAAAAAATAAATAAATAAAAATGCTAAAAAATGTGCTAGGTGCTAGATCAATTTTTTTGGTGCTAAACGAGATTCAAAAGTGCTAAATCTAGCACTAAAAGTGCTAAATTGACAACACTGGTTAAGGTATTAAATTGAGCCTAAAAATTGGAGTTTTGTAAACATTGGTTCAGATGCAAATATTGCTTCCATATATATTTTCGATTGACTTCATGCTAATTGTGCATCAAATAATAAACTGGTGTCCAAATCAGATGGGGGTACCGTTATATGGGGGATACAAAAAAAAAATGGACCTATCAATATCATTAACAGTTTGCAACGACATATCAATTAAGCCAAAACTATTCACTTTGGTTCATATACTTAAGTCATTCCCGAGTTATAAACTGGTGAACCTCGACTTCAGCTATGTTAAAAAATTGGCAATATTGCCCATATACTTTATAGGGTCGGAAATGATTATTTCGATAAGTTACAAACGGAAAAACCAGCTTAATATACCCTCCATGCTATGGTAGAGGGTATAAAAAGGTACAAATGTACCCGGTTATTGGTCGTAGTGTGCACATATAGACACATATCACAAATTTAATTTAGTGCAATTTCATGTCAATGGACCTTCAAAAATGCGAGGTTTTCTAGGATGCATCCCTTGAGTATAGGCAAAGTGGTAAAGTGAATTATATAGTGGGCCCCGTCCGACTTTACTTCTTTCCTTATTGTTTTTTTATTAAAAATACGCTTTTATAATGAACATTTTTTATTCTATAGTTACAAGGACCATTGAATTTTAGAAGGGACTTGGATTTGTTTTTGAGATAGCAAAGAATTAGAACTAAAGGGCGTTGAATTTGTCTATTAAAAAGCTGCGTGACAAACTTTCAATAAAAAAGTATCTCATAGATATTTTTTGGGGATTTTTTTTTCTATAGAATAAATAAACAGCCCTGCATTGCATTATTTTTTATAGAAAAGTATCAAACTAAGGGACTGATGAGGATCAGTGACAAGATCCGAAACTATAGTCTTCCCAGCCTTACCCCTCGGCGGACAATTCCATATATTCCCCACTAATAAATAGTTGTTTTTTTATAAAAACAACAAAGTGGGATTAAGCCCGACTATTTTGCAAAAACAAAATACAAATGGTATCCCAAATAACCCGCCAACGCTACTGAAAAGTATCACCTATAAACCATAGGAATTGTTTCTATAGATAATCATTCACATCACTTTAGGGGATTGACAATATTTTTTCCTGAATCCTCAAACATTTTGTTTCGACTGCATAACAATTGAGAATATTCCGCCAGTGCGAATTATGGAAATTTTATTAGCCACCAGCAGCAGCATCATCATAATTATTTTTATAGTCATTGCTTTTTTGTATCATTTCTGTACTGGATTTGTTGTTGTTGCTGCTGTTCCTGTACTCAAAGAAGTGGTAAAAGAAATTATTAAAAATAATTCAATGACTTGAAAGAGAGACAGACACTGAACGGCAGCATCATTTTGGCGCTGGGAGATATATTAAAGAGTCCATGAGCGTACCAACCCTGCCTCATAATTATTCAATGTCATTCAAGTGCACCACCACCAACCAACCAACAACCACTTGTTCATGCTGGCGATGACGATGTTTGGTTTATTTTTATTTCTTTTTTTTTTTTGCAAACATTTTCGCATTTTTATTTTATGGTTATTTTTTGTTTTCATTTTATTTATGTGATTGTATAAAATTTGCAATTTTTCAATTGTCTGGGGGCTTTCTTTTTCTGTTTTTTTCTGCCTTACTGTTTGATTTGTTTTTTTTTCTGTTTGCCACTTTTTATTTAAATTTTATTTCTGTAATTTAATTCGTTGACTGAATGTTTGTTGTTTTTTAGGGGCACTCAACAACTGCTGCCAAGCGCTTGCCGCCTGTCATTGTTGTGTTTCATTGCATTTCAGTTCAGCTTTTTTTCTGCCGTTTATCTTTTGTTTACCATTTTAGGTAGTTTATTATCTATTGTTTATTAATTTAATGTATTTTCTATGACTTGTTTTATCTTTTGGATTTACTTTCGTGTTTGATATGGCAATCCATCAATTGTAACCTACACCAAACTAGTGTTTTTGGATCGAGAATTTTGTAACTGATATTGACCGTAGACCCTAATTGTTGGATAATTTGCAGATTTTAAATCTTATGTGATTAGAAATTTTAATTTATTAGGTACACTTGAATTAATTGTGGTTTATGAGTTGGAGTGGTAGCCTCTGGACTCTGATAAACTCTTTTTGTACGGGAACAACAAATTCTGCACAAAAGTTAAATGGAACGATTAAAAAAGATAAATATAATTTTGCTGCTCATAGTGCCTGACAATAATTCCATAACTCCTATTAGTGAGACATGATGATGATTCAGTGATGGTTGCGTTGAATTAGTTTATTTTGATTTTCTATTACTTTTATTTAAAAATATAATTTCTAATGATTTTGTTAAATCATGCTTTATTACAATATGATGTAAACCCATTGTTACTCTCCGTCGATGTGAAAGATGTAGTATCGGAGTTAACAGGGTGGTTCCTACTTTGTATTAGTTTTGTGTTAGTTTAACGTGATTCTTAGACACCCGCTAGCCAGAGTCGAATCCCTGTATGCGTAATGCACATAACCGAGATTATAATCTCCAACAAACCGCCGAACACAGAAGTTCACCCGCACATAACCATTTTTGTAAATAAATTTGAATTTAAAACGGAACAAAACTTGGACTACAAAATTAATCAAAATTGAAAAAGGAAAAGAAAGGAGATAAACATTGGTCCTTCTACCGTAAAATAAAAACACCAAAGCCGTGGAAGCTGTACGGAGATAATCATTGCCAACCAAAGCCGTGGAAGCTGGAAACGGAGCCATTACAGATCAAAAGGATTTTTATTTGGTAACAATAAGTACGAGGTGATCCAGGTACGTATTGTGGTTCGAAGCGCACATTGGTGGCTCAGAACAAAAAGTGAAAAATTTATTGATTTTTGAAGTATAAAAGTGTATTTTTATATTTATAACAATAAATTGGATTTGTGTGGCTCTGTGAGGGACATAGTAGGTTGTGTCTTTGTGATTATAAGTCCGAGCGTGCATCAAGCGCCATAATACGAGAGTGCGTCAAGCGCCATAATCCGAGTGCGTCAAGCGCCATAATCCGAGTGCGTCAAGCGCCATAATCCGAGTGCGTCAAGCGCCATAGTCCGAGAGTACGTCAAGCGCCATATTCCAAGCGTGCGTTAAGCGCCATTTTTGAAAAACCATTGTGTTTGATCATCTAGTATACGATTTTAATTGAAATTAGTGGTTTTTCTTTGAATACAGTAAAAAATAAGCGAGCATAATGGATAATTTTGAGAAATGCTTGGACTCTGGAAATGAAATCCTAAAAATAGAGGATAGATTAAGGGAAGAAGATTTTTCGGACTATTCTGCAGAAGCTTTGGATTTTGAGAAAAGTGAGTTTACTAAGGTTTGGACAAAATACAAGAAAGCTTATGATGAGTGTAGTTCGGAAGAAGGGAAAGAGAAGAAATTTTTGGCGATACAAACAAAGCATAAGGATGTAAGAAGATCCTATATAAAGTGTATAAACATAATTGCTGCCGCAAGAAAGACATTATTAGGGGAAAAGACTGTGGTCCAAAGTCAGGTGGCTCAATCTGTTCAAGGTTTTTCTTGTCCTGTCCCTCCGTGTGACACTGGAGTTTTTCATGGAAGTTATGAAACATGGCCAACGTTTAGGGACATGTTCACTGCTATCTACATAAACAATGCAAGGTTAAGTCAAGTTGAAAAACTGTTTTATTTATATCAAAAAACTGAAGGCGAAGCAAGAGAAATAAACAGAAATGTGGCCCTGACTGGAGATAATTTTGACATAGCGTGGAATAATTTGAAAATTCAATATGAAAACAAAAGGATTCTGGTTAATAGTCAATTAAAATTATTATTCAATCTGACACCGTGTAGTAGGGAATCAGCTGAGGAAGTGAAAAGACTTCAAAGAGAAGTGAACAATTGTATCTCAGTGCTAAAACTATATAATATTGATATAGAGACTTGGGATCCAATATTTGTGTTCCAGTGTTCCTCGAGGTTGTCCGAACAAACGCTTAATTTGTGGGAACAATCAGTGAAAAATAAAACAGAAGTACCATCGTGGACAGAATTAAATAATTTTCTCACAGATAGATTCCATGCTTTAGAAAGTGTCTCAGAGATTTTAAATAGCAATCAGTGTCCCATAGAATCGCAGTCATTTTCGCAAAAACATATGCAAACTTCTTCCAGATCTAAGCAGTATAAATCTCATCACACGAAATCTGATGTGGCTCAATGTAAATTATGTAAAGGAGTACACTCAATTGATTCGTGTTCTAAATTTTTAAATATGGATTTCAAAGGACGGACTTCGCTTTTAAGAAGATATAGATATTGCTTCAATTGTCTCACGATAGGACATATGTACAATGATTGTACTCGTCCAAATGGTTGCTCTAAGTGCAATAAAAAACATCACAATTTGCTCCATAGAGATTTTGTGAAGAAAAGTGAACAAAATAAAAGAAATGAAGTAGCTCAAGTTTCAAATAAAACATCTACACAATTACAGTCCATTGAAAAAGCAGGTCCCTCCAATGTAGCCCAAGTTCACCATACAGTAGTAGCGAAGAATGTAATGTTAGCCACTGCATGGATAAATATTGTTAGTTATGGAGTTTGCTATAAGGTGAGAGCTCTTATAGACCCATGCTCGGATGAGAATTTTGTTTCGGAAAAAATACAAAAATTGTTGAAGTTGCCCACTGTGCCCGTTACAGCTGAAGTGACAGGACTGGGAGGAGAAATAGTAAGCCGATCTAATAAGCTGGCGAGTTTTACTATTGAACCAATAAAAAATCAAGATATTTCATTGAAAGTGGAGGCTTTAGTAGTCAATGAAGTGACTGGAAAAGTACCGACTCACTCTATGAATTTGTTTGATAATTTTAATCTGCCTAAAATAAATCTAGCGGACCCTTGTTTCTACAAAAGTGGCCCGATTGATGTTTTGATAGGAGGGAATTTATATCCAGTTATACTGCGAGGTGGAGTTCAACATGGGATTTTAGAATCATTAGTTGCTCAAGAAACCATATTTGGCTGGATAGTAACAGGCCCGACGGTATCAAGAGTGCAAACGTGCCACACTAGAGTATGTCATGCAACAAAAGTGACCCTGGATGAACAATTAGCGAAATTCTGGGAGTTAGAGGAAATTTATCAAAGTCCTATAAGTTCTGAAGATGATAGGAGGTGTGAACAAATTTTTCGCTCTACTACTACAAGGAATTCTGATGGGAGATATGTTGTTGATCTGCCCTTCAGGGAAGGTTGTCCTTCGCTTGGTCCAAATAGATTTGTTGCTCTGAGACAATTTGAAAGAAATGAGAAGTCGTTGTTGCGTAAACCAGAATTGAAATCCAAATATGATGAGGTCATGAAAGAATATATAACGTTAGGACATATGGAGAAGGTTGATGATTCGGATTGTGTTCCTAGTTATTATTTGCCCCATCATGGTGTGTTCAAATCAGATAGTACTACAACGCAATTAAGAGTGGTATTTAATGGCTCAAGTATTTCATCAAATGGTCGAAGTTTAAACGATAACTTGTATATTGGTCCGACGTTGCAGCAAGATTTAGTGGCTCTGATAACAAAATGGAGATTTTATAAATATGTATTCAGTGCGGATATAACAAAAATGTACAGACAGATATTAGTTCACAAAAGACACACTAATTTTCAAAGAATAATATTGCGAGACTCTGAGAATGGAGAGATTCAGGATTATAGATTGAAAACGGTGACTTTTGGAGTAAATTGTGCTCCGTACCTGGCGTTGAGAACGCTTCTGCAGTTAGCTGATGATGAAGAGAAAAGTTTCCCAATAGGTGCAAAAATATTGCGAGAGGCAATGTATGTGGATGATGCCCTGGTTGGTGCGCATTCTATAGAAGAGGCATTGGAAGCTCGAGATCAGCTGATTGGAATTTTGAAAACGGCTATGTTTGATTTGAGGAAATGGACTTCAAATACAAAGGAAATTTTGGAAGATTTGCCATTGGAGGACTTGTTATCTAGTTCGTTTGTGTGTCTCGAAGAGGATAGCAGGGCGAAAATGTTAGGTGTTCGGTGGAATGCGGCATCTGATTGTTTCTATTTTGTAACGGAAGTCGTTCAAGTCAAGTCATCATATACGAAGAGACAAGTGTTGTCTATGATAGCTAGGATATTTGATCCAGCAGGATGGTTAGCGCCAATAATAATTACAGCTAAAATATTAATGCAGCAAATGTGGCTCGATCGAATACAATGGGATGAACCGATAAAACCATTAGCACTTCAGAAATGGTTAAAGTTCATTACCAACTTTGACAAAATTAACCTTATTTCTATTCCGAGATGGATTAAGTTTTCACCGAGTAATGTGGTTCAAATTCACGGATTTTGTGACTCATCGGAATTAGCATACGCTGCTACCGTTTATGTAAGGATAAAAAATGAAGACGGAGTTTTTTCGAATTTATTAATATAAGACAAAAGTAGCTCCAATAAAGAAGGTGTCCTTACCAAGACTAGAGTTGTGCGGTGCCACTTTGCTAGCGAATTTAATAGAAAGTGTCAGAATGAAATTGAAACAGAGCCAATTTGAGTTATTTTTGTGGTCCGATTCGACTATCGTCCTTGCGTGGCTCAGAAAATCCCCAAATTGCTGGAAAACGTTTGTAGCCAATAGGGTATCTAGTATTCTAAGCAAAGTTGGTAACATAGAGTGGAGACATGTTGTATCGAATTGTAATCCTGCCGATTTAGCAACCCGGGGGCTGACTCCTTCGGAGCTTAAGGATAATAAGTTATGGTGGCATGGACCAGAGTGGCTCATATTGGATGAGAATAATTGGCCAAGCGGTGTAACAGAATTTCAAACATCCTCGGAGGAAAAAAGGTCTCAATCTATGTTTGCTAAATCGTCAGAAATAGCGGATAGCTCGTTGAAAGTAAGTGGTGGCAAGCCGGAAGAAACGGAGAAAGTGACAGGAGACTCAGGTGAACCTCTAAAGGCAAAGGAGAAACCAAAAGTGCAGGATTTTTTGTCGAATATATCTACTTTTCAAAAGGCGATTCATGTTGTAGCTAGAATGTATCGTTTTGTATCTCTTGCTCGGAAGTCGGATTCAAATCCTGAGATGTTGTCTTCAGGAGAGTTGTCCATGGCTAGAAAAGGTATATTTATATGGTCGCAGAAACAATATTTTTCAAAGGACTACGCTAGCCTAACAGCCAAGACCAGACTGAGTCCCAAAAGTCCATTGATCTGTTTAAACCCATTTCTAGATCAAGCTGGCATCATCCGGGCTAATGGCCGCTTAGGTTCCACGACGTGTTTGACATACAACGAACGGCATCCGGTGATTCTGGCATATGAAAGCAGGATAGCAAGACTTTATGTGGAGTTCGTTCATAAAATCACTTGCCACGGTGGTATCAGATTGGTAATGACGACCGTCCGCTTAGAATGTTGGGTCATCAGACTTAAAAGCTTGGTGAAGAGTGTTATACACAATTGCAAGGTCTGTGTTTTACACCGTCAGAAGCTGATGCAACAAATTATGAGCGTGTTGCCCCCCGAAAGAACGACTCTGAGTCGAGCATTTACTAATACGGGAGTAGACTTTGCCGGACCGTTTGAGATAAAGAGTTTTACCGGTCGTTATAGCAGAATTACCAAAGGATATGTGTGTCTCTTTGTATGTTTCGCAACTAAGGCAATCCATTTAGAGGCAGTCAGTGACTTGTCTACCCCAGCCTTTCTGGCAGCATTAGATAGATTTGTGGCTCGAAGAGGTTGTCCAAATTCCATGTACTCGGATAATGGCAGGAACTTTGTGGGAGCTGCGCGGCAAATCGACTCAAACTTTGCCCAACAAGTTAAATCGTTTAAGGACGAGGCTGTCAATAAATTTGGTCATCAAAGACTTTCTTGGCATTTCATCCCTGCAGCAGCTCCTCATATGGGCGGACTCTGGGAGTCGGGAGTGAAAAGTTTTAAGACCCACTTCAAAAAGCTTTCTGGTCAACTTAAATACACCTTCGAGGAGTTCTCCACATTATTAGCGACGATTGAGGCATGTCTCAATTCTCGCCCTCTCGGATCCATGTCTGAAGACGTCGAGGACCTACAAGCACTCACGCCAGCTCACTTTTTAATTGGTTCCTCTATGTTGACCCCAGCGGAACCAGAAGAAATTAAACCTGTAAGCAGTATCTTCAACCGTTGGCGGAAACTGAAAGCAATTCATCACGATATATGTCGCAGATGGAAAGAAGAATATTTGGTGGAACTACATAAGAGATATAAGTGGAAAAATCCTCATAGTGACTTAATCGTCGGTGACTTAGTGGCTCTCAAAGGAGAATCTCTTTGCTCAACTGATTGGCGCCTAGGGCGAATAGTCAAGGTCTATCATGGTTCTGATGACAAAGTTCGAGTAGTTGATTTGAAAACCCAGGGTGGCATAATTACTAGACCCATTCACAAATTAGTACTCTTACCCCGTAGCTCACAAATCTAAACCATTACTTTATATTTTACCTTAATTTAATTCAGTTGCTATTTCCAGGATGAAAACTATTGGTGGTCTTTTTAACATGAATTTTCCCTGTCCGCTTTGTGGCCGTCCTCATGCAATTCGACTTTGTACTACCTTTTTGGCCTTAGACACCAGCAAAAAAAGAGACTTCGTGATGAATAACAGGCTGTGCATAAATTGTTTAGCGTCGTCCCATGAGAGATCGACATGCCGGAGTCTTGATGTCTGTAAATTATGCAATGGTTTCCACCACAGCTTTCTGCACCGTATGACGGATGAATATGTTTGGTTCCCGATGACAGCAATGGTCAGAATTTATACCTGTTATGGTCGGCGAGATCAAAATACCAGAGTGCTGCTCGATCCCAATTCGAAATATTCTTATATTGCCTTGGAAGAAGCCCTTGATATGTACTGTCTTATGGACAACGAAAGAACTACGGTTGTGTTACAACATCAGAGTGTAGACCGAAAAAAGATCAAGGTTGAATTGGTGGTTCGCGATCGCGTATTTGGGGTTACTCCGACTGCACGGATTGATAAAGAGGCTAACATGTTTGCCAACCCTCCCGGTAATGTGATCGACGCAGATAGATATTGGAACCGGTCGTCGCCGTATTTTGTGATTCTGGGAGCCGAAGCCTGCAGAGCAGTTTTTGTGGGACCACCTATGGTTCAGCCTGGCCGTATTTTTATCCAGGATTCCATATTCGGCCGACTATATTTTGGTGAAGGCAAGAAGGTGCCGATTACGAGCCGATTGAATTGAATTTGATACCTGATTTAACCCAAAAACCAAAAAAGAACCAAGAGAGACTGAATTCTATACTTTTAATTTCATTGTTAAATATCATTTTGTTTTCTAGTTTTCTAAGACATACTGAATTAAATTGTTTACTTTAAGACACTATTGTTAAGATTGTATTTGGGATTCGAAAATGGTTAGTGGTGGCTCTGAGATGTTGTTGCACTTTAGTGCAAGGCGGGCGGTATGGTTGCGTTGAATTAGTTTATTTTGATTTTCTATTACTTTTATTTAAAAATATAATTTCTAATGATTTTGTTAAATCATGCTTTATTACAATATGATGTAAACCCATTGTTACTCTCCGTCGATGTGAAAGATGTAGTATCGGAGTTAACAGGGTGGTTCCTACTTTGTATTAGTTTTGTGTTAGTTTAACGTGATTCTTAGACACCCGCTAGCCAGAGTCGAATCCCTGTATGCGTAATGCACATAACCGAGATTATAATCTCCAACAAACCGCCGAACACAGAAGTTCACCCGCACATAACCATTTTTGTAAATAAATTTGAATTTAAAACGGAACAAAACTTGGACTACAAAATTAATCAAAATTGAAAAAGGAAAAGAAAGGAGATAGTCAAAATTTTGAAAATATTTAAATATTATATGAAAGTAATCGAGTGTCCGATTTGATCTAAACTTTACACATTTTTTAATAAAACTAAATCGAATCCAATGTGGAGCCCATGTTAGGTCTACTTCCTCTTTAGCTCCCGAAAATAAATTTATGTTTTAAACAATTCTCAAGTAAGAGAATTCGTGGTCTACCCAAAAACTTCGATTTGTTACAAGTGACATTTGGGTTTTTTTGTAATGAAGCTACAAATGGATCCTGGACAAAATATCCCCAAAAATAGATGTATAGGGGAGACTGGGGCACCTTCGGCAATCGCGTTTTCGATATGAAACTCTCACCGTACATCTCTAGTTTCGATACACCGTACATCTCTAGTTTCGAAATAAATAACTGTCACAAAGTTCGAAATTTCTAGCTAATAAACTTATTTAGATGCACGGGTTTTTGTATTTTTACAGATGTTTTTGTAATATTTCCATTCCATTTCGTAAGTATTTCGTTTGTAAAACTTTTCAAATTTTAAGGCAAAATAATTAAAAAGTGGTTAATTACGATGTGTATTATTATAGAAATATTTAAAAATATAATATTTTTACAAGACTGATGGAAAAATGATAAAAAACTCTAAAAAGTACATTCGGGGTAGATTCGGCACATTCGGCCATATACAGATTGTGCAATATTATTTCCTTAAAATGTTTTTGAGTTTGTCTTTAAAAATAATCCTTTAATATGGTTCGAAATTACATATATAAGACTAAACGTGCTTGTATTAATGAAAATGCGATAGAAAAAACCTATTTCTGATGGTGTGTGTGACCTTGAGATTTCAACGTCCGCCGCTAGAAATTATAGCTCTAAAATTCAAACATGTGTCGCGTATAAAAACCAAATAGAGCCTTTAGAGGATCTGAATTCCAACCAGACTGATAGCGATGCAAATTACCAGGCTATGACTATAGTGCCGAATGGGCCCCATATTATAATTAAGTATCAGAGGACAATAAACCGCCATAAAGTTTTTATATATGTTGAATAAGTGCCGACGGTGCCCCAGTCTCCCCTACTGCATATGTCGTAGACTAAGGGTATATATCTGTCTCATGGCATGAGAATGCCTGTTTTTTCCATTTTTATTGAAATTACACGGGTAAAAATGTGTATTTTTACCGATTTGCCATGTTCATCTGTATTTGAAGTGACAATAGAGGTCGTAATTACTTAAACAGTATTCCTAGGTTGTTTAGTATATCGGCCCACGTTTTGGCATACCCCTCATATAGCGGTATCCTCAATATGTTTACCAAACCTAGATCGAGCTCTGGGCACATTTGGTATTTGGAGATCTCATACTACAGCAAAAATGATCAGTATTGGTTAACCTATGGGTAATATGATGATATGATATGAATATCATGATTCGGCCAACGAATTGTTCATCTGTCTAGTTTTTTGCCGATTCAAAATTTAATTTAATAATCGCATATACAGGTATAGTCTCACAATTTCGTTATTGGAAACTATTTTTAAAAATATTATTATTATAATATTATTATACCATCCACTGGTAGCCTTTAAAATTATTTTGTATGCCCTCGTAAAAATCTCGATATCTCCTAGCAGTAAATGTATATTGTTGTGAAATCGTGACACTAAGGTCTTCGTTTGTGCAAATTTCGAAATCATGAATAAATTTTGCCAAAATCCAATATGAAAATAAAATATTTAGATTGTTTTAGAACTATTGTAAATAAATTGTTCTAATTGCTTAGCCAGCATTAACAAGGGTCCTCCGGGACCAATAGTTCATCAACACTTGGTATTTATATGAACATCTGAAGCAAGAAGTTGTTACAGATCCCCGAACAATAATTTTATGAAAAATGTATAAAAAAAAACATAAAGTCAGGATTTAGGGTCCTGCGATTCCATAGCTCTGGAACAATTGTTATTATTCCAAATACTTTTAATAAATAGAAAATCCACACAAATAATCACTAAAACTCAGCCTTACTCAAAAGAAATAAAATTTTTGTAGGGCTTTTATGATCATGATATTCATATAGAAACCGGATGGGATCAAAAATTCGTATTTAATTTGAAGTTATTTTGTAAAAATATAATGATATCAATGAACGAGGCATGTAAGGACCAACGTTTCTTGGAACTAGAAGTAGGAAGCATAGTACCCGTTTTATTTAGCCAGTACCAATAAGAATGCTCTTCATTGTGGTTAAAATTCCAGGGCTAAAAGGTAAATAGAAATCGATGAAATTTAAATGAGACCTTTATTAGGGTCTTCATCAAATATGTATATATATATATATATATATATATATATAGAACCAAAATCGGAATTTTAATTGAAATTCTAGACATTTTTTTTTTAAATATAGGATCCATGTGAAGAGATATCAACGTTTCAACCTTTATTTATTAACTAAAAACGCAGCATATTCTTTTCTTTTACAAAGACATTACTAATAAGAGTGCTCCGACGGATCCAGATAATTTTTTTTATATTTTGCTATAATTTTTAAAACATCTTCAAGCCTATCAAATAGTGTACGTTTATTTACCAAACTATTGAAAATCATCAAAGTGATTTAACATTGTGTAGTTTCATAGGAACTGGGGAGAATATTGGAAAACGTTGTTATACACAGCATAAATCATTCACCCCTATTCCGTATGTCGTCGTCGTTGTCCACGTCGTTTCTTTGTCGACATCACTTCGCATCGACATTGATTTGGTATTCCGTAAGACGTTTATTTATTTATCGATAATATTAACAAAACAAAAACACATCTCTAAAATTATAGTCAGCTGTTTATTTTCTTTGATATTTTGGCTTAAGTTGAGTTTAGGGGTTTATCTCCAATTTTTCTGAAATTTACCACAGGTAAATATCGTCTCCCTGATGAAGAAAATATTCGACATTCATGGGAGAAGTCCGTACTTCTCGAGATATGGTCCTCTGAAGTTGCGGAATTCATATACTCGCTCATAACAGCGTCATTTATGGACCGATGATGGTTATTAAGAATTGCATGTTTAAAATGTTCAATCGCGTAGCCGAATTTTGCATTTGTCTTAGATAGCCGTCCAAGAATGGTTATTGAAAAAATTGATTTCCGCCTGTCCATAGCAGAATGTCTTAAATCACTGGCCGAAGGCCGCCAATTTTGAATAATTTATGATTAAAACGAATTTATGTGAAAATGTAATGAAATATAAAAGAATTTTGGAACTTCAAGGGTCTATATTTCGGGATGTTTGGGAGACGAGACCTAGGTGTCATCCGAGACGAGCCTCTAAACTCACATTGTTCCCGTTTTAGTATTTATGTACATAGAATAAATTTTTGGGTCGATTTATGCACCTTGCTCCGTTCATGTATTATTTTAAACAAGTTACAGGTCACTTTTATGATCCGAATGGAATAAAATTTGATACACTCCATCTGAAACTTTATTTGGCACAAAGGCGAGCCTAATTGATATTGGTCAACATCGGTTCAGATCTATAATTTTGCATTACACATTGAATAGATTCTAGAATTATGTATCCTGTCCTTGTCCGGTCATGCTTTTTCT